CTCGCCGGGTTCCTCCCCGGAGATTCCCCACTTTCTTCTCCGTCTCAGGCCCCCCTGTTGCTCCAATCAGAGGCAAAGTCGCTGACAGCTAGGATCGGCCGGATTGCGCACCATCAGTTCTATTTTTAGATTTTGAGTGGGGGGAAATTCAGTTAATGGCATTTTGGTTCTCATTGACTAAGAATTTTATGTTATTTTTTCAGATTAATGTGGGGACCAGGGAAAGTTTATTTTCCTGGTAAGTGATACCCATTTCTTAGGTGGGTAAATAACTTTCTCACTTGAAGGGCGAAAGTTTTCAATACTTGAATGGGACAAAAATGCCTCTTTTAATAATGAACTTTTATGGTTAAAATGATTATTTCCTTTTTTTGCTTTGGAAATAAAAGAACATGGGTAAATACACTTACCTGGGTAAGTATTTCCCAGGAAAAACTTACCCAAATAATTACATTTACCCGGATAAGTAACTTACCGAAAAGCAAACAGGGCCATATATTTAATCAAAACATGTCCTGCTTTGTTTTGCCCTATTGTGCTAGGAAAAAGATAATTAATAATTAATTTAAATTATTTCTTGACAAATTAATTATTGAAGAAACCACCTCTTTTTTTAGTATTTTTCTAAAAAGAAAAACAATTATTTTTTTATTTTTAATAATTTGACAAAAATAAATGTGTTCTCCCAAACCATGGTTTTAAAACCAGACCGGACCGGATGGTTGGACCAAAAAACCAAGAACTGGTCACCCATTTTACCCCATAAACATTTTTTTGACCAAAAATCGCTGATTTAGTCAACAAACCGCTGACCTAGACAGTCGAATTGTTCAAACTGTCCAGTGGTTTTTGGTTGTTTTCTATTTTTAATTATTTTTATTTCTTTTGTCAGAACGGGTCGTCCGTTCAATTCGAACGATCAGATCATTTGACCCGGGAACCAGACCCCTGAATGGTTCATTGCCCGGTTTGGTTTTAGAAACCTTGTCCCAAACGGATAAAAGTAAAGAAAAATATAACTAAGTTTCATAAAAGTCAATAAAGAAAATTAAAGGAAAAAAAGAAAGATAGATGGATAGGCAATATATTGCTTCCTAATGAGATGGGTTATGTACGTGTTTGGCATCAATATCATTTCTTCATAAATTAGTTTTTGGGAAAACGTCCTGTTTGGTTATGCATTTTTTTAAAAAACATTTTCTCATACTACACCTTGGGAATGGAGAAGGGTGTGGTCTGAAAATTTGTCTTTTTTTTGGTGTTTTCCTTTTTTTTCTAATGATGTTAGTAATGTATACTCTCATGGCATTGAAAAGCATCCATGTAGCAGCAACAATAATGGTATCAGATAGAAAACCTGAGAAAACAACATGCTTATGCAGCACTGTTTTCTGAAAAACACCTTTCAAAAAATAGCATCGGTTTCAAACACCGCCTATATATATTAGAAATTAGCATAATAGCCCACCCTACTTGCGTATTTGTCTGGTTTGTTTTAAATCCCAATGGATCGTAAGTCCTCCGTGACATTCAATACAAATGTGTCGAGGCATCATAGGATAATAATCAGTCATGTACTCAAAAATGAAGCAGCCATTACTTGGGACCAAATACCTAGAATGTGCGATTGCTGACACATGATAGAGAAGCCAACACACAAAAGGAGCTTCAGCAAAGAATATTATCAAAATTCAAAATTGGAGCTCAAACCTGCTATCCCAAGCAAGCAAAACTACACTTGTAAAGTCAGTACTCCAATCCATCCCATAGTATCAAATGTCATCAATATTACTACCCCAAAAATTCCACAAATCTTTGGACAAACTGGTCCGTGATTTCTGGTGGAACTCTCAGTCGAGACACACAATCTCTTGGAGCAAATTGTGCCTCTCTAAAGTTTGCGGTGGACTTAGCTTTAGACAAAGAACTCTAATGAACAAAGCCTTGTTTAGCAAACAGATATGGCGATTAATTTCCTTCCCAAACAGCTTGTGGAGCTCACAGATTAAATAGAAATACTACCCCAAAACGAGCATATTCACAGCAAGAAAATCAAAAAAGAATAGAACCACTTGGTGGCGGCATACACAGAAACTTTTGGCAACCCTCAAACCAAATATTATGTGGATGGTTAAGGATGGATCTAATATATTGGATTTTGAGGACTCTTGGATCCCCACATTAAATGGAGGGCTACCAAAGCCATCTCAAAATGCATAGTGATGGAGGGTGATTTTTCCCGACCTCATCATAGGGGGACACGTGGGCGTGACTCAGCATAAGTGACAGTTCAGCGCGACCAGTCCGCCAAAGTCCAGCATGGCAGCTCAGCACCAGATGACACTCCGATTATCCCGAGCTCCTCCTCAAGAAGGGAATACCCCGAGCTAAGATTCTTCCACAGGCATCCCAAGCCAAGGTACTGCAAGACAAGGATCTCCCAATCTCAAGGCACTTCGGGGTGAGCTCGGGAGCCTGCTAATAAATTTGTTCCGACTGACCTAAGTAGGCCGCTCCAGGTAGAATCACCTCAGTATGGCACATGCAGCTCAGCATAGGGTAGCTCGGTGCAAGGTAGCTCGCAGGAAGACAGCTCAGCGTATCACAGGAAGATCTCCCCTGACAACCATACCTACCAAACCTGGAGCCCTGCACCCATGTCTCTCGCCAGGCGGTGTCGTGCCTGCCAAACCTGAGAGGTGTCCCCCGCTTGACAGAGTTGTACCCTACAACAGTGACCTGTGCAGCCCTGGCAAGTAATGGCTGCAACAGAGAATCAGAAGCGGTTATGTCAGATTTAACAGAGCACCGTTATATAAGAGATCCTACCCCAAAAGAGCAAATGTAATTGCATTCGCGCTATCTGCACTCTGGCTTTCTTCATCTTCTCTGCAATTTTCTCTCTCAAAGTTCTAACTTAAGCATCGGAGTGTTCCTGCTGGGAGAGCTCCCCGGGAATCCTTCATTCTCTTCTTCTTCTCATGTACCGTCCGTCGCCAGCTTGGAGTGTGGCCCCCTGCCAGTTAGGAGTGACTAGATCGCGCTACATCATTTGGCGTCGTCTATGGGAAACGCTTCAAAAATCCTCTCACCAAGCAACTTCGGTAAGACTTCAATGGCTTCCTCCAGCAACGCCAGACGAAGTGCCGACCAAAACACCTCCGGGGAACGACCTCAGCTCCCTACCGTCTGCATTGGCCAGTTCACTGTACCCCTCTTCGCGGACGGAGTCCCTACCCTGAGCGTGCCTCAGGTCATGGCGCCAGTAAATGCTCCACTCCCTTCGCCGGTAGAGGCGACCTTTGCAGAACCATCAGTTCTCTCGGTGGTCGGACAGAACCAGCTAGAAAACTTGGTACACTGCGTGCGAGCTATGCAAGCTCAAATGCAACAGTTCCATCAGTTCCAGTTGTACTAGCAGCAAATGCTTCACCACGTCTACCAACAGCAGTACTAGCAGTAGTTCCCACCACTGCCTCAGCATCAACAGCAAGTTCCACCTCGGCACTTCGCTACGCAGCAGGCTCAGCTCCGCCGTCGTAGCGAGCGTCTCCCCCACCGAGGAGAGACCTCCCGAACTCAGAACCCTTTCGGAAGCCAGGTCTCATGGCAGGAGGGAAAGATAAGTTACTCCCCCCACCTCGCAGCCTGTAGTCATGTAGGGGGCCTCTCAGCTAGTTAGACCCACATCACCTCGACCCTCGCAGTTCGAGATTTCGCTCGTCGAGAACCAATTCGAGGTCCTGGCCGCGGACTGTAAACAAGGCCCTTCAGTACACAGCCATCAGCAGCAACCCGAGCCCCTTCCCAGGCCCATCGAGCTTGGCAACATAGAAGCAAACAATACTAATGCATCCAGGGCAATACTGGAATTTTGGTCCGGTTCAGGGTTTCAAGAAAACCCACACTACATGTACCTCATGTCTCACCCTGGCAGCCGAGACAAGCCACCCCAACCAACTTGGTGACACATCAGTGTCAGCCTTGGCAGGATAAATCTCTCCAAATCTATCCAACAACTGTGAAGATTCTAAACTAACGCGAGTCTCATATGTGTCCAGTTTAAGGGTATTACACAAAAACACACCATAAAAACAGGAATCAAATATGTACTTTATTCATTTACATTAAATGTCATAATGTACGTCATTCTGATTGGAGCTAAGGGCATACACTGTCTAACAACTCACTACTCTGAATGCAACATGACCTAGTCGTTGATGCCATCTAGAAAGGGTAGTGCATTCTCCGACGAAGGCAGCTACTTTATTGTTGACTTGAGTCCCTCCAAGAAATTGATAGAGTCCGTCTCTACTGGTTCCTCTAATAAGAACTCTCCCCGTATAATCCTCCACACGAAAGAAGTCACGATGGAATACAAGGTAAATATCGTTGTCTTTGGTAAGTTGCTCACAAAAATCAGATTCTTGGTGATGTATGGAACATGATAAACTGAATTTAGAGCAAATGTATGATTATTATGTGTCAATGATGATGATCCGGAATGTAAAATTCTCAAACCTTATCCATTACCAATAGTAACCTGATCCTGACCCATGTACTCAGACCGATTCTGTAGATTATCTACATCTAGAGTGAAGTGATGAGTGGCGCCTGAATTTGGATACCACGTGGGATCAAGTTCATTCCCAACACTTGTATGATACGCAGCAGGATCTGAAGGAGTCTACTATTCTTCCTGATAAGATAAATCATAGCACCTCCTACAGATAAGAGCACCATGTCTTGGTTTGTTGCAGACCTAACAGACAATTTGGGAAAAATTGCCTTTCCCACGGCCACCACTGTTATTTCTGCCGCCATTGTACTGATTAGGATGACCTCCACTATTGCGGCCACCGTCGTGACCTCTGCCATTGCCGGGAGCAGAACCCGCCCATGGTTTGTATTTTTAGAGTTCCATTTATTTTATTTTTTCCATGTGCGGCAAAATTCGTTGAGGGAGGGTTATCAACAGCGGGCTGGTTGTGTTGTTCCAACTAGGCCTCATGATTTAATAGCAGTCCCAATATATCATTAATTGTAAGCAAATCAAAATCAATCCTATTAGTGATCATAATAACTATGGACTCATACTCAGTCCCCAATCCAGAAAGAATACAGAGTATAAGATTTTCTTTGCCTACCTGTTCAGAAATTGCTGCTAGGCTATCGAAAATTACCTTGGCTTTCTTGACATACTCGGTTATTGACTCTGAACCTTTATTGATGCTCTGTAATTGTTGCTTCAGGTGAAGTGCTCTTGACCTTGAATTGGTGAAGTAAGTTGCAGATAGGGCCTGCCAAACTTCGGTTGTTGTGGTTAGACCGATCACCTCCATTACCATGCTCTCAGTGAGAGATGAAATAATCCACCCGAGAACAAGTTGATCCAGCTGCACCCAGTTATCATATTCTGGATTTATCACTCTCTGTCCATCAAGACCATCGATATGGGTTGGAGGAGCTTGCATCGTTCCTTCTACGAGACCGAGTAGTTTGTGGGTTCTGAGAACTGGGGTCATCTGCACCCTCCATGATAGATAGTTGTCATGAATCCGCTTTATGGGAAGCGAGTGGGAAATGTTGGGACGTTGATTATTGATGTTCCCAACACAACTTAGAAATTGGTTGCAATTTCCTATGTTTGAGCTTGCTGCCGAGTGCATGCCATTGTGAGCCATTGGCTCTAATACCATCTTAAGAAAAATAACTAAACTAAAAACAAAAGAATAATTGGAGATCAAGAATAATGTCGATGGTAATGGATACCATCAGACGCATGGTATTTATAGATGAGAAGTTTACATCAGAGAGGAGTTCTACAAGGCTTGAGAGAATGTACAGATAAGGAGATAATTACAGAAAGGTTAGTTACATCAAGAGTAGGCTCTTAGGATAGAGGTTATGCTGATTAAATAAGAATTATCCTAGGAGGATAGTTTCAAATATCCAGAGGTCTCCTGATCTCCTTGAGTGTGTGGATTATCCTTGTCATTATCCTTAATATGCTTGGCTAAATGAACCGGATAGGCTCTGTACTTCTTGCAAGGTCCAAGAAGAATCTGGGCATCGTCTCTTCTTCCAAGGCTCTTTTGCTCGAGCATTGGTGTGAGGCACAAATTGGGCGAAATCCCCCATCCATGCATATCCAACCTATAAATGTAATTAGGGGTGTAAATAGATCAAATTCGAATCGGATCAAGCAATGTCCAAATTCGAATCCAATTAGAAAATCTGATATCCAAATTCGATTGGATACCTGACGAATAAAATTTATATCCGAATTCGAATCCGATTAAATATTCGAATATTCGATTCAATTCGAATTTGATTAGTTAACTATTTTAAATAATTAATAAATATATAAATAAATATTTTATTGATATAAAGTATATAAATATATAAATTATTTATATAACTTAATTATTATGTATAAATTATATAAAATATTTTATATATTATATATAAGAATTAAATAATTAGTCGAATTCGGATATTATCGAGTCGAATCAGGTCATATCCGAATTCGAATTCGATTAACTATTCGGTAAGAATAGGATATCCGAATTCAACCAATTAGATATTCAAATTATCCAAATTCAATTCGATTATGTCGAATATCAAATTTGAAATCAGATTTTCGAATACCGTTGACACCCCTACATGTAATCATAGCTGACTGGTTCTTCAAGTTAAACACTCACTATGGCAAACAGCAAGCATTGGCAAGCCTAGGCCATTTCAGTATTATTGGCTATCATCATATATGGAAAGCTAGAAACAAAAGTATATTTGAGAATGAGCTACCGGACACTAAAAAAGTGGCACACACAGTCTTACAATTTTCATATGAAGATTGCCTAAATCAACCACAACCCAGTCTAGGATCTCGGTATCCCCCACAAGTAGCATGCCCATGCTATTTTTTGACGGTTCTTTTGATCTAGTTTTTGATAACGTAGGACGAGGGCTCTTCATCTGCCACCCCAGTCAACAGTACATCATTGCAGAAGAGTCACCCTGTTGGGCAGTCAACAGCTATGATGCCGAAGTTCGAGCCCTTCTAGGAGGATTGCAAGAAGCTTTAGCCCACAACATCTCTCATCTTTTGGTATACTTGGACAATGAAGCATTGGTAAATTTTGCAAACATTGGTAGTGCATCTTAGTGGATTGATCCATGGTTTTTAAAACCAAACCGGTCAGGGCTCCGGTTATCGGTTCAAACGGTCCGACCGTTCAACCCAAACAGTCGACCTGTTCTAACAAAAAAATAAAAAAATAAAAAAAAATGAAAAACAGTCAAAACCATTTGAACGGTTAATCGGCCGGTTCAATAGTTTGCTGACCAAAATCAACGGTTTTGGGGAAAAAAATCGGTTTTGAAGAAAAACGAAACCGGTAGGTGACCAGTTCCCGGTTTTTCCGGTCCGACCATCCACGTCCACTTTTGAAAACCATGGATTGATCAGTTGCACAGGAATCACCTTAAAAGATTAATCTCTTCTTTTGGATCTGTACATTTTATGCATATTTACAGATAACATAACCAAATGGCCCATCTTTTTGCTTATGTTTCATGTAAGGGCCAGCTAAAGCTAAGCTACAATTCTCAGCAGACATCTCATGTATCTTTCTCGTTATAAATATAACGCTTTTCTTTTGAGTCCGGATCTCCTGCCCACACAAATTCTGCCCACATTTATTGCAGTTACACATGGAGAATATCTCATTCTCTGCATAGTATTATGCAGGGGGAAATGTTCCCAATTCAGGGGGGATAATGTGTTGTGGGTAGATGTGGGCAGGATTCTCGTGGGCAGGAGATCTGAACTCTTTTCTTTTGCAAAAAATGAAATGATGAATTTATCATTTCTCAACGAGAACATGTTTGTTGGTTTTAAAATAACGAACACGTGTGCACCTCTTTCACATGTTAAGAGGGATATCAGAGTAATTCTCACCCCTTTGTCATACTTATTCTCCGGTGACAAGGAACCAAGTAACACCATCATTCACCGCCGTTCATCAAGCTCCTTCTTCTTCTGTCCTTATTTTGTTTCTGCTTATGTAAATCAAAAAATTGTTCCTAAGCAATAGATTGCCAAACACTTCAGTTATTCCACAGGAACTAGAAACGGAATTCCTATTTTGGAAGAGGAATTTCCTCTGAAATAGAAACAAGGAGGAACATTGCCAAACAGAGCCCTGATTTCAGTCCACTTCAATGATTTTTATTAGGTTTTTGGGTTTTATTTACTAACTCCATCTATGATCCACTACCTTCCTCTCTCCCAGGTAACTTTGGTTGTTGGGACCCAACAGTATAGGCTGTTGTCTGTTAAGACAGTTTTTAGGCTGGGCATGTTCTGTATAGTTCACTTATTCACGCCCATGCTTTAATTTTTAATCAAAACAAATTAAAATGTAATTACTAATTTATCCATTCTCATGGCATTTCCAAAAATCATCTCAACAGCATAGGCTGTTGCCCCCAACAGCTAAAGTTTTTCCCCCGTCCCTTAACCCATTCCCCCACCTGTTACTATTCCAGCTGTACTAAAGTTTATGTGTGGACTTAATAATAACCCCCCACCTTTTAATTAGCCACCATCAATTGCCATGTTTAATGATAATTAATTCTTCATTAATTAGAACATAGAGATCATTATAAAGTGTTTATTTTAATTATATATCTTCGATAAATAAGATTGGTAAAAAGAATAAAAAGAAGAAAGGAGACGAAAAAGAGAAGAGGAGAGGGATGGTTTAAAACTTTAATGAATATCAAGGGTATTTTTGTCAATCTCATTGTTAAATGCTTATGTTATTGTTAAGTATTTTGACCAAATCAAAGAGTTATATTATTTAAGTAATTACCCAGATCCACGAACTCATTGAAGGAATCAAAGCACTTACCACCATGTTCGTTCCCCTAATCCTTCCACTAAAGAACTTGAGGATTGGAAAAGGCAACTTTGGACGTCAGGTGTAGGGATAGTTCATCCAATAGACGAGTTTTGGATTGGACCCCGTCCAGTCCAAATTTAATTTGGACAAATTGGACAGACCAACAAGACATATTGGATTGGACCAATCCAGTCCAAAATATTTATTAGATTGGATTGGACCTGGTCCGTCCGTAATAAATTTGTATTGAATTGGATTGAATTAAGCCAATATCTAGTCCATTGATATAAGATAAAAAAAATAAGTGTCAATGGACCGAATTTGGGTTGAAACCAATCTAAATCAAAACGAACTTGAAGAGATTGAATGGTCCAGACATTGAATTGAATCAGTCCAAATTAGTCCAAAATATTTGTTGGATTGGATTGAACCCGATCCATTTATAATGGACTCACATTGGACTGGATCGGATTGGACCAAATCCAATCCAATTGACACTCCTGACTCACAATCAGAAAGGTAGCCCACCCAACAAAATAGTAAGTGAGATAGGAATCATCAAGGACTTGGGCCAGCTCATTATTTCAATACCTTTTCTAAGTTGTATGTTCCCATCTAATATCTAATATCTATATATATATATATATAGATATAGATATTATCTTCCTCAGTCAAACATGTGGCCCACTTACATTTAGACACCTGTCATTTCAAAGATTTAAACAAAATGGACACGTGTCAAAATCTGAATAGTGGTAGTTTAAGAATATAGCCCATTAGACATGTGTCAAATTCTGATTAGTGGTAGTTCAAGAAAACAGCCCACTAACATGTAGAATGGACCCACCACCATGCAGAGTTTGGAGAAGTGGGAAGCTCCCACTTTCAATCATTTCCTAAACAAAGGAAGTTGTGCTATTAATTACCGTTAACTACTAAACTAATTAATTAATTTCAGCTACTAATTACTAATAATAATTACTGTTAACTACTTTTAATGAATTAATTGGAGCTATTAATTACCAATTAATTACTGTTAAATACTTCTAATTAGTTAATTCCAGCTATTAATAACTAATAATAATTACTCANTAATTACTGTTAAATACTTCTAATTAGTTAATTCCAGCTATTAATAACTAATAATAATTACTCATTGATAATAATTAATTACTGAAAAAACTTTCTTATAATAATTACTGCTAATACTTAATTAGTAATAATTTATTAATGACAATATTTCTCATTATTAATTCGAAATGATAATTAATAAATATTTTCATAATGGTAATTAATAATTTGGAAATAAACATTTTACATTTATATTAACTCATATTAATTATTTTGAAAATAAATAATTAATGGTAATTATTTATATTATAATGATTATCAGAAATTACAATTCAAACATTTATATGAAATAATTAACTATATTATTATAAGTAGTTATAATTAATAATAAATATTTACGTAATGGTAATTAATAATTCGGAAATAATCATTTTATACATATATTAATTCATATTAATTATTTTGAAAATAAATATTTAATGGTAATTATTTGTATTATAATTATTATAGAAATTATAATTCATACATTTATATAAAATAATTAATTATATTATTATAAGTAATTATAATTAGTAATATTATATTAATGAATATAACTATATTATTATTATCAATAATTATAATTAAYTATTACTAATACTAATGATGTCAATTATTACTTCGGAATATTAATTAATTAATGATAATTAATAATTATTTTA